CCTGTTGGACTCAGGCGATCCTTCCACCTCAGCCTTCCAAGTAGCTGGAACTACAGGCGCGCACTACCACACCTGGTTAATTTTTGATTTATTGTAGAGATGAGGTCTCGCCAAGTTGCCCAGGCGGGTCTCAAACTCGCGGGCTCAGGCAATCCACTCACCTCAGCCTCCCAAAGCGCGGGACTACAGGTTGAGCCACCTTTTTTTTTTGAGTCAAAGTCTCACTCTGTCTCTCAGGCTGGAGTGCAGTGACACATTCACAGCCACCTCAGGCTTGACCTGTTGTGCTGACGTGATCCTTCTACCTCAGCCTTCCAAGGAGCTGGAACCACAGGTGTGCACCACCATGCTTAGCTATTTTTATTTTTGATTTATTGTAGAGATGAGGTCTTGCCAAGTTGTCCAGGCTGGTCTGGAACCCCTGGGCTCAGGCAATCCTCTCCTCTGGCCTCTGCCTCCCAAATTGCTGGAATTACAGGCATAAGCCACCCCACCCCGGTCTCAAACATTTCTTGACTGATAATTCGTAGTTCCCATCAAAGGAATTTGGGAATCATAGAGGAGATGCTTTATTAAGGTAAGGGGGTGGAAAATTCCAGAGTTGTTCTTTTTTTTTTTGAGTTGGACTCTCACTCTGTCTCCCAGACTGGAATGTAGTGGCCACCACAGCCTTGACCTGCTGGGTTCAGGCGATCCTTCCTCCTCAGCCTTCCAAGTAGCCGGGACTACAGGCATGTGCCACCACATTCAGCTAATTATTTATTTATTTATTGTAGAGATGAGGTCTCTCCAAGTTGCTCGGGCTGGTCTCGAAGCCATGAGCTCAGGCAATTCTCTCACCTCAGCCTCCCCAAATGCTGGGATTATAGGCATGAGCCACCATGCCTGGCCAGAGTTGTTGATAGTAGATGAAGTCCTATATGTGACAGACTTCAGGGAGGATAGATACAAATGTCTTACAAGGTTCCTGGAACCTTGGGAGTCCCCAGAGACAGTCTTGCAGGGCCATAAAATAATTTGACTTCCTTCTTTATTTGTTGTGTGATGTTAAGCCTGAGTCAGGTTGGAAAACAGATTTTTTAGTATATAGGATAAGAAAATCCCTTCTGGTAAGTCCTTATCAAGCAGTGACTCCCCAAGCCTCTTAGTTCAGAATCTTGATAAGAGAAAAAAAGTGACTGGGCTCAGTGGCTCATGTCTATAATCCCAGTACGTTGGGAGGCTGAGGTGAGAGGATTGCCTGAGCCCACGGGTCTGAGACCAGCCTGGTCAACTTGGTGAGACTCTGCCTCTACAATAAATCAAAAATATTAAGCCGGGCTTGGTGGCTCAGCCTGTAATCCCTCGCCTTTGGGAGGCTGAGGTGAGTGGATTGCCTGAGCCCGTGGGTTCGAGACCCGCCTGGGCAGCGAGACCTCATCTCTACAATAAAATTAAAAAATCAGCCAGGTGTGGTAGTGCATGCCTGTAATTCCGGCTACTTGGAAGGCTGAGGCGGAAAGATTGCTGGAACCCAGCAGGTTGAGGCTGCAGTGGCCGGGAGCGGCCACTGCACTCCAGTCTGGGTGACAGAGTGAGACTCCAACTCAAAAAAATAAATAAATAAATATTAGCCAGGCATGGTAGTATGTGCCTGTAGTTCCAGCTACTTTGAAGGCTGAGACTAAAGGATCACCGGAGCCCAGCAGGTCAAGGCTGTGGTAGCCATGAGTGTGCCACTGCACTCCATTCTGGGAGACAGAGTGAGACTCCAACGCAAAAAATAAAAAAGAGAAAAAAAGTCAAGTTGAGACTTCACCCAGCATTAAGAGAGGGTGTTTGGAAACTGTTTAGCTTGGAAGTCCTTCCTGGGTACTCACTTTTGCTAAGCCCTTT